AAAATAAATAAAAGAAAATAAAAGGAAAAAGAAAAACACTTTAAAAAGCAAAGTCAAGCTCTCCTTCATAATACAAGTATTAAGAAAAATGCTCAAAGAGATCTAAAGGGATATTATTCAGTCAGTTTAAAAAGCAATGGAAAGCAGCAGAACAGAGGTCAGGAAAAGCAGGTTCAGTGACCTTCGTTCTGCATTTGATGAGAACTTCGGACGCCTGAGTTCCAATCTGCAGGGATTCTTCACCTGTTCTAAGGGGATGTGGACCTCACTGGGCTTCTGTGTGATTAGCTGATCTCGSACCTGAAAGGCAGTACAGCAAGACATGCATAGCAGGTGTAAATAAAAAAAAACTAGCTTTTGTAACAGTCTCTGTGGTTAATTTGATATTTTAAATGTGAAGTTTGTTAAATGCCACACACATAGAGTGTTCTATATCAATTTTATAACATTGTTTTCATAATAGAAAAAGTTTTAAGTACATTTATTTTAAAAAAATGTGCACGCACAATAAGTCAAATCTCTGATGTGGTTCCAACTAAGTGGAACTAAGGAATATATTAATTATTTCAAGGTTACACATTATTTAGCAAAGCTAAATAAAGATTACTTGACAAACTGTTGAAGGGATGAAATGACAGCATTGATAAAAACAAACCCCAAGAAAAAAATAACTTGCAACGCAGACCAGTGATGGGTACAGACAAAATTATTTTGCAAGGGCTTGGCACGTCTAGATAAGGCATCGGAGGACGAATGTGGCATCATGAAGAAACTGATAGGGTTATCAAGTAGTAGCTGGAGCATGGGTCAAAACAGGAAGTGAAGGTTGCCAGATGCATTACAGCACATGATAGAAAAAGGGTTTGATAGGAGTTGTAATTACTGGGGACGTACCAATGTCACAGTGGTGACACCATGGGGTCTGTGTGAAGGAACCCAAACATGTTGTGGAAGTCAAAACCAACCCCACCAAACAGGACTGTTATATTGTGCCATAAGATCCATCAAAGAGGGCCTGCATGGCTTTGTTCCACACAGATTTGCCATCTGTATCCAATCCAGGAGTACCACACCTTACTGACATGAGACCAGCAGTATGTTCATACTGCTAAATTTTATTCATCAATCCAATTTCTTAACCAACTTGGTTGTGTTCAGGGTTGCAGGGAACTGTGGCCTATTCCCAGTGGTCTACAGGTGAGAGGTGGGGTACGCCACGGCAGCTCACAAATCTACTGGTAAAATGTTAACCATTTCATTGTGGTATAGTCACATGAACTTTTAACACGATCAATTTCATTTTGTTTCTACCACTTCATCTGGGTGCTTAAATTTATCTATAAATCAGTATGTGTATATTCAAAAAAATTATACAGGCATTTTAATCCAAACAACTAATGTTTGCTTGGAAATATGTGCTGTCAGTGTGCATGTGCTTTTATTTTATCTTTAGTTTTTCTGGTCATGAAAACAAAACAAAAAAAAAAACATGCAAGTTTTAACTCACCTTTTCAACTTCTTCAAACACCCGGAGGAAATTCCTTCGAAGGACCCCTGACAGCTCATTCTCTGTCCAGTTTCTTCTCAGGAGTTCTTGGATTATGGCAGGGTATTTTGACACATCTTCTAACCCTTGAGGGAAGCTAWAATTGAAACGCACAAACACAGACGGGGCCAAAACAGAAGCAAACACTTCACAGATCAATATTTTATAAGTTCCCCTTTTGAAAACAAGTCAGTCACTCTGACAGTTTTGTTGTGATCTAATTCATCACAAACTCAACATTATGCAGTGACAACAAACTAAATTCACTTATGCATTATTTATAGAGTAATTCAATCTTCAGAACTCAAAGTCTCTCATGCCTTYGAGCGGTTGAAAGTAATAGATAATAAACACGTTTCGGTTTGTAGAGAGCACGGCAGCCAAGCAGCTGAAACCTTGACAAGTAAACAAAAGCACAAACCTAATCCTGTTCAAAACCCGCCTCAAACTTATGAGCAGCAGTCCCCTGTTGTGGCCGTCGGTGCTCACCGTCCTGCATTTATTATGTAGCCCTGCTCCACCCCGACTCAAAAATGTCCCTTTAATTGCAACAGAACACTTTACATGCCTTGTTGATTTAAGCCAGATGTGCTGGACCAAGAAAACCTCAAAAACATGTAGGGCAATGAGTGAGTGGAAAGGTTGGGGGAACACTGCTTTGGAAAGTGTTTGCAAACAGAAGCGGGAAATATCTTTACTCAAATTAAGCTGAACATTGATAGAATATGACAGCTACTACAGATTATCTGTCAGAACACATCACACTGCATATCAAGTTACAGCTATCTGCATGTTGTGCAACAGTAATGTGTCTTACCTCTCACCGCCATCAAAGTCTCCTCCGATTCCAATTGACTCAGCTCCAATAACACTCCTAATGTGATCAAAATGGTCTGTAAAGAACAGTCGCAGCCGGCAGTTAGTTGCTTGAGTTATAAGATGTTTTAATATAAGTTCTTTTAAATCTGTATATCTGTTTAAGAAGGATGCTGTACCAGCCACATGGGAGACATTCCCTTTATCACTGCAGGCAACAAAGGGGCTGTAAAAATTCACCATGATCAGGCCTTGGTTCTTTTTCTGAAACCCAAGCAAACACAGACACGCTACAGAATTAATCATCACATACAATTTAAATGTACCCTACTAGTACTTTTTTTAAACATTCACTTGTTGTGGAAAAAACATTAGATCAAAGTCGAGCTTTGTATAATGTCAACCTTTCTCATGCAAGTAGAGGCCTGTGGCATAATGAGAAACATGACTGCTCAAGATGCAAGGACGCTTGATAGGTTTTCTTTGGGTTTTGATTGTTTTTTTCCTTGTTGGTAAAAAACAAAATTTCCATAAATTTTTTTTCTTAAGTCATTGTCAGTGTACTGTTTTGCAGCCAAGAGCAAGAATTGGATACCAAATTGTAAAATCTGTTTTAATTTAAATACAATGATATTATTAACATTATTATTATTATTTTATCCATAACAATGACAGCTTGAGAGTGATACAAGTAGGTGAACTTTGACATAAGGAGATTTTGTTTGAAAGTAAAATCAAGGGGAGCTCATTTAGGCTTAATGATGCAAATCGGACCAGATAGTTTACACTCAACCGAAACAAAACCACCCTGGAGTATTAAGACACATTAGTAAGATATAACTGAAGGCAGTAAAAAATCAATTGGAATTCACAGGACTCTGGCTTTACAACTGTTGTTAAACCAATCACGTGTTATGAGCAGGCACTCTGATTGGCAGATGCACCACCGTCATTAAACCTTTCTGAGTGAAGTCAAAACTGATTCCTGTCTTGCATTGTGCATACTTTGTTATTATTTTTGCAGGACAGATGAAATGAGCTTGTGGGCCAAGGTAGGGCCTGGGGGCTGCAAGTTGAAGACAATTTATGTAGATCACTTAACTCTTGTTCATATCACATGATCAGTGTGTAGAAACACTGCTTGTTAAACACAGAGAGCAAATTTTACTATGGAAATTGTAGAGAATATGGAACATTTTCTAAATTGACATAAACTTTAAAATAAAATCCTAAAAGTACATTTCTATTGTACAATTTAGAATGGAATATTGTGAGTGTTTGTAGTATAAATAAACACAAGACTGGATTGTAACGAGTAAATCGTTAAAGGTTCTGATTAGATAAACCTTCAATCCAGCAAAACGTAGAGGCAGTAATTGACAAGAGATTGTTTTTTTCTCACCAGCTCACGCAGAAGGTAATCAGGTACATTGCGGCTGTGGTTACAAATAGAGAAGGAGGAGGAATGACTAAAAATGACGGGAGCTTTGGAATAGTTCAGCACAGCCAAAGCTGTGCCCCAAGATGTGTGGGAGAGGTCCACGATCATCCCCAGTCTGTTCATCTCATTCACCACAGCCTGGAGAAAAAGTATGAATAAAAAAATTTAAAATAAACACACACACACACACACACACACACANCACACACACACACACACACACACACACACACACACACACACACACACACACACACACACACACTTGAAAACTACTTAAGCAGCCATTTCTGTTTCATGAAATGCAAGAAAGTCTAATAAACCAGTGGAGCTCGATGTTTGAATGAACACACATAAGGTTTTGATAGCATCAAGGTAATTCTCTGCCAGGCTGTCAACACTTCATTTGGAGGAAAAGCGTGAAAAAATAAATAAATTAAAGTGCGTGTCTGGTTTGAGAAGTTGAAGATTTACAATATTTGACTTTAAACCACATTATCTCTGACTTCCACCATTACTTTCACTAGCAAACAAATCAAACAAACAAAACAACCAGAAGAGTACACCGCTGCTTTGTGCATTGCAGTTTCTGACAGATAACTGCAGTGAGGGGTATGAAATTACCTTTCCAAAATGYGTCAGGCTGCTTTCCCGGTTTAGAAAGGCATTATAAAGATGTGAAGATGATTCAGCCCTGCACCAAAAAGCCATTCGGTTAACACCCCAAATGAATCATTTTTTGTGTGCGTATGTGGAAATGATACCTCCATGACTGGATATTTATCACATCTTGAATGTTAATGTTTATGTGCACTGAAGAAGTGCACTTGTCTTTTTACCAGGGAGTATTGCAGGAATGTGTGAGGGACATGGAGCGGACTCCGAGCTGGTAAAACATCCTCAGTGCTGGAAGACTGCTGTCAATCGAGTGGCCTCCTTCAATGCTTATCAAACAGGCTATTTTATCCCTCTCCTGTGATTCAATAATCTCTGCAAAGATGCATACACATACATTTAAGATGACTGTTCTCATTTTTAGAGTTATTAAATCCTAAATACCTTGAACTGAAGTGACCAGCTCAAAGTCCTGGTACTCGGTGCACATGCGTCGGATCACATCCAGCTGTTCCAGAGTCAGCCTCACAGCATCCTTCTGCTGGGCCCCACACACGACATAGGCTGCAAACACCTGACAAAGGGAACAGGGACGTCAAACGAGACAACGGGAGATGTGTTTTAGTAACTGAGGTGACACTCATGCTAGGGTTTGAGGCTTTTCACAGCATGCACAGTTCAACTCATACAGGCTTTAAAGGGCCACGCATTGGAACAATCCATGTGTTAAATCACACCAGTGTCATGAATGAATGGATGTTGTTTTGCTTTTACAGTACCTGTGTCTGTACATGGCCAGCACGGAGGCGGGAGATGTCAGTGGCCACTTTGTCGATATGATTAAGATCAATTTGGCTCAGGTTATTGCTGTGGTGGATTCTCAGCTGGAGAGCTAGGTCATTATGACTGAAGAGTGGAAAGAAAACCAAAGGGAAGGGGAACAAAACATAGTTTTCATTTGATTTTAGGCAATAATATTAGGGCTGGGCAATATTGACATACATGGTTAATTGTGTCAGTTAGCCAATAGCAAATAATATGACAGTTAATGAATGACAACCATTCTTGCATAAGCTAACGCTGTGGCCTTGGTGTACATTTTCTGGCTATCCTCATATCTAGTTTATGTCTGTGTTTAGCTGCTCCACACTGCCTTCCACCATTGGGCTCAAATGCATGCCTAAGAGTGACAGTGTCTTGTGCAAAAAAAAAAAAACATATTTCATCACATGGTCCTAATTGCAGTAATTGCAAAGTGGCAAATATTAACTGTCAACAGTTTTTTCTGGTCATGATACAATTTCGCCCAACYCTTTAAAAAACTGCATGAATGAAAGATCTGATGAGAAGGGGCAATGTATGCATCTGTTACCCATCAATGAGAGGATAGTGAGACATCAACTGTAGTGCCCTGTCACGGTTAGAGTATCCAGAAATGAGGTGGAACTGGCTGCATATAAAGAGAAATCTGAGAAAGTGCACCCAGATGTTGATTGGGCCTTTTGATGTGGTTTCTTCATAATACATATTCTGAGAAGAGGGGAAAAAAAAATACATGATGAAACATTTATCTGTAATCAGAGCCAGTGCAGCTAAATATAACTCACAAACACACACACACATCTAACCGCAACATGCAACCATGCCATACAACTCGTTTTTTTTTTAACTTAATTTACTTGTATAGAAAGTGACAGTAATAAATAAAACACGAGCATATTGACAAAAATTTCATGTCACATGCAAACACACTAAAGTCCGCATACATATTAAAATAGCTAGGCATTATGGGAAGTTAGGTTTTTCACTACTAGCAGCATGATGAGCATCGCTCCAAATAATAGAAAAAAAAAAAAACAGATCATTGTTGGCTATTTCCTCAATTGAAATACCTAGTATAAAATAAAAAAAGTTAATTCAAACTACAGCAATTTTCTTACCAGACAAGTCGTGACAAACATACGTGCTTACTTGTTAGTTTTCTTGCGTCTGACTGCAAACTACGAACTTTCCTGTTCTCCGCCACACAAACAGAAAACACCGACACAAACACGAACTGCTGATATATTCTGCTGCATTCACTGATGTCTGGAAAATTAATTGGCAATCGGATTCGCCTAGAGCTGACAAAAGACTCCTGGTTTGTTAGAGGTATGTGTTACAATACATAAGAAAAAAATAAAACTGAATAACTGAGGCAGTTTCATCGTAATAATGCGCTGTTTTCTTTTTGTTCAGTCAAATTCTCGTTTGAACTGTGAATTTGAAAGATACTGAAATTTACGTGGAGCATCAAACGCACCTTGATAGGTTTGCGGAAATTGTGACATCTGCTGGACAAACTGTGTCCGTAACTTAGAAATGACAGCAAAGAAAAATGCATTTTGCACTATGGTAAATTGAAATTATATTAAACCCGATAAAAAAGAAGAAATATGCAAACACACAAAGTTGTCCAAAACAACTTATGGTAATTTCAATTATATTCAAGGGCTCTAAACCCCTGTAAGTGAGGCAACAATACTGGGACTAAAAACCTACAAATCTCAGTTGAATTCAGCCCTTATTAATATTTTAACATATTCAAGTTTTGCTCTCTGATGACCCTGGATTTGGCCCAAGAGCATAAATCCACAACTGAATATTTAATTAAACTTTCTGCTTGCAGGAAGCTAGAGGCTAGTATTGCTCAATGAAGGGCAATGTGTACCTGCTGTTAATAAATACCTTAAATAAGTAAATAAATAAATAAATAAATAAATAAATAAATAAATAAATAAATAAATGAATGAATGAATGAATGAATGAATGAATGAATGAATGAATGAATAAATAAAAGTATGGTTCCTGACAATCAGAGCACAAAACGAAACAGTGCACAAACAACAGCTTCCGGTTAACTAAAACACATTGAAATTCTGAAGTAATCAGATATTGATTTGTAACGTGAGCTGATTTCAAATGCTTTACTTTGATAAGCTGCTGCAGAAATGTTAAAAAAAAAGCTAACAGGGTATGAGAAGTTTGTCAAATTAGAGTGACTTTGGCAATTAGCTTTAAAATGAGTCAGAAGAAGTTTTTTTAGAAGCAGTGATGACGGTGAAAACTGCATGAATTCTTTGTTTGTTTAGAGTGTTTTTGCCTGACTTACTCTGAATCTGTAAATAGTGACTTCTGCTACTCCTTTTTTCTGCAGCTTGCATATGAATTTCTGTGTTCCTAAAAACTGTTCATGCTGACTTTTACTGTTGCATATAGTGTGATGCACAAACAGATTCAGCATTGGCTCATATGGTAGGCTACAYGTGATTTTGTAATATTTTGGCATGTCTGCAGAATTTGAACATTATGAAATTATGCATAAAAGTTACCTTGTAAGATCAATGGACAATAAAATGTACTATTCTTTACTGCAAGATGCATGTTTGATAGTGTGCAGGACATTTTAATTTGACCAATCATAACTGCTATGTAATATGCGAAAATGTATACTAGTATGCATTTATGTATTATGAACCTCTGCCTACAGCATAATTTTACTTGAACGCTGAAGACCAAATTACCGCTTTTACTTTTAAGTCTTCTCAAATGTGAAAACTTAATGCATCTTGGGCTATCATGCAAACGCGAAAGGGTCTGGTGTGTTGATGTGGAGAACACCATGGCGCCACAAATGAATTTCAATTATGTTCAGAGGGAAGATGTGAGGTTTTGCTCAGCAGTCCACCCACTGAGATTTGGCCTTGTCATTCGTAATGAGCAGAGTGATTCGGTTCTGATTGGAGCCAGCCTACTGCTTGAGTGGGGTAATCACAACTGTGTTGATATTACTCCACCAGTCCTCCCGCTGTGCAGAGTGGAACCCCAGCTGACAGTGTTTGAATTCAAATTAACCAAATCAGTTAGCCATACTGCCGACCTTGACGCAGAATGCAACCGGCAAGACAAGAGAGACGAATTCATCACATGCCTCATGAATTGATGAGGAAGCATCAGCACAATTATTATTCATACAGCTGACTGCCATTATTGTTAGAGTTAATGTAGTGTTAAATATGAGTCCAGCTCACTAAAGAGGAAGCATTTAAAAATATTAATTAAAAATAAAAACTGTTTTGTTATTGTTTGTAGTGGTTGCTTTACAGAAAAAAAAAAACACTTAAAAAGAGAACCATGAACAATTTAGAGACCGGAGAAGTTGCAGATTGCAGCCAGCTGACATAAAAAATGTAGACTAACTGGATAAAAAGTAACAAACAGGGTCTGAGAACAAGGTGTGGCATGAAAAAGCTTGACAGACAAAATACAGATGTGAATCTGACAGTTTGAGATCGGCAGTGAATGATCAACATTTTAGGAGAGTTATCATTTTGGCAGAGAACTTGGCCAAATAGAGAAGCAGACTCAGAGCCAGGATTTGGTATTTCGACTGTGCAACCTAGCACATTTTAAATAAAAACATCTGCACTGTGTAACAACATACATAGCTTTTTCTAGAATAACAAAAATAATAATCATGGTACTTTTCCTTATACATTTTGATTATTACAATAAAAGTGCCAAAACCTTATTAAATTAAAAAAGGCACATTGAACATACCAGTTGTAGCTGGAAACATATTTAAACAAACAATATATA